AAAAAAGCAATTATAAATTAACCATTTCCCCCCCTTCGAAGCAATTTTATACCCAACAAATATTGTCTGGTGTATAATATATGAGGTAATCTGCTATGTCCTAAACAATACTAATTGGTTAGTTATGAACTTTATACCTTTATTATATTTTAATCTTTTTTCCTGAACTCTCATGGCTCAAGCACAAGGCAATTTTTTCCACTCATTATTTCCTCTATATGTTGGGACTTGATTACTTCGGTGACAAGTGCTCTTTTCCTATGTACACCCAAACTCACAGCATTTTCATCTTTGATCGCCTTTTCCCTTTCGATTGCTTTTGTGTGGGGTTGACTTATTTTGAACTTTTCTGTTGACCTTTGATGGTTGCATGGTTCGATTTAGTGTAATTAACTTCACTCAAAAGCTACATAGGTATTGGCCTCACAATCATTCTCACTAGTTCCACTTTTTGCCAATGTAAAAGAAAAAAAATAAAATCATCATCATCATACCAAGAAAACAAGCAAGCCAAATGCGAACAGGGTTGGGATGGATCATGGATGGGTACATGTCAAACATATGCCTTCCCCTTTATGTCTTTATATACATAAATTTTGTTGCAAACAACCAAAGCTTTATGAACAAGTTGAAAAATTAGGCCCATTGAGTGAGGTTTTTCATGACTTTGGTAATCATTATAGCTTCCAATTTGATTTGGCATTTTCAACCTTTCCAAGTCCAAACGGGAGCATGTAGTTTTTTCACAAAGCGTAATTATGTGTTTTGAGTATTAATTTTTGGGCTCTTTGAAGTTTGCAAAACCACATGCACTTCTCTTTTCTCTCTTTTAAGTCGCATGTGATGTTTTAACAAGCAAGCACGAGTTGGATGATTAGGAGGCTCAGTGGTTACGATCTGTTTAAGCAATGAAATAGTATTATTTTTATAAGAAACAACATTGGGAGGGAGATGTTTGATGTTTCCTCAATTGTGATGGGTACTAGTGGACACAAAGATCGAATGACAGCATGCCTAAATAGAAAAAAAACCCCTAATGTGTTTTATTTTTTTAATACTTTTCAGAAATTCAAATGCAAGCGTAAATTTTTATATTGAATGACATAAAAGATATTATTTTTTAATTCTTACTAAGATTAATATATATGTTGGATTCTATCTTAAGGTTTCAAAACCACAATGCAGAAAGAGCCATTTGACTTGAAATTAATAAAAGAAAAGGATTATTTTAAATTGAAATCTCACTTCTAATAACTTGGAAGAGAAGTTTGAGACTTCAATTGCATTCTTTGCGAGTTGAGACTGTTAATTAATAAAAGGAAAATATCATTATTAAATTGAAATATCAATTATATAGTATAACTTGGAAGCGAAGGTTTTACAATCGCATTCTTTGTAAGTTGTAACTTAAAGCGGCGTTTGGTACGGGGTATTTTTTAAGATTTTTAAGAAACTGAATTTTTTTAAATTTTTAATTTTAAAATATTATCGTAAACTGAATGTAAAAATCATATTTTTGAAAATCGAGATTCTTTTCTTCTCTACCAAACGCCCTCCGTAAGAAAAATCATCTCTGCAGGACAACGTTCTCTGCGCTGCCTAGTTCCTGGGAACGTCTTTAAGGAATGTCATTTTTAATGCAGTGACCAGGTTTCAACTCTAAATTACTAAGATATTCAAATTGTCCTTTACACGTGGAACCTGTCTCTTAGATTAGGATGTTTTAGGTCCGAAAGCATAGAAGATGTAGAGTTATTAAATTAAGAGGGAATGAAAATGGAGATAATTAATTAATTTCCATTTGTTCGTGAATGCAAAACATAGGTTGAATAAAATTATTAATTAGTAGCAGGGAAATTATTCATTATCAAATTATATTAGTTATTACTACGAAGCAAAACAGAAATTTGTATTCATATTTCAGGGAATATCCAAGTGATTGAATGGTGCTTTAATTTTGATTTAGAAACCCAGTTTCAAAAAAAAAAAAAAAATGATTTGGAAACGAAGTACAGATTTTAAAAAACAGGAGATATGGTTTGATTTCGCTCTGTGGCCCAAATAATTTACTAACATCAATAATGGTGTCAAATCATGTCAAATATTATATTAGCTTATTAGCTTGAACATTTGTCATTATAGTCAATGTCTTTTATTTGATATTAGATGTTGATGACAAAGATAACCAACCCCATTTCTTGGATTTTTCTGTTTTGCGATCCATGTTTTAACCCATTTTAGGCGTAGTTTTGACATTAAATTACAAATGCTCTAGGTCATTATCTTGTCTGTTCTAGTGGATATATACGAGAAGGGAAAGAAGCTCATGAATAAGGTAAGCATCATGGAATGGATTATCACTCTTTTGTGACAACATATGTATATAATATAGTGCTCGTGCTGGTGCTTGAAAGCATGCGAATGCTTGCATCACACATGACATGATGCTTCCCTAAGCAGACACCAATATGTACGAAAAAAAAAAAAAAAAAAAAAAGAAGAAGAAAATTTTTATTAACATTGTGACACAAGACAACTCACAACTAGCTACCGAATACCATGAAAGTAGGCAAAAGTTATAGGTTTATTGCCCAATGCTCAGTTCCAAGCTTCCCTTAAGAGTGCTCAATGGGCTCCACAAGCCTCTTCCTCTTTTCACGTTTTACTCTCTCCACAATCCCTGCACGTCAGAGTCCCAATTTCCAACCGAAGGAAGGACATTCCATCCTAGATACTAACAAAAAGAAATGCAAATAACACGTTCTTTTAATATTCTTTTTATTATTAAATAAAATCTTATATAAGTCTTTAGTATAATTTGGTTTATTTTTATTTAACCAGAACTACTAACATAAATTTTATCAAATTATAAAAAATATTAAAATATATTTGTAACATTTCTCCTATGCTAAAACTTTTCTCACTTATTATTATTATTATTTTTCATAAATCGCGAGTATCCTTCACAGGAAGTAATCATGTTCGAGTCGAGAACATTCACATCATGGTGAGGCTAGCTCTTCCAAAAAATTGTTTTTGCATTCACAAAATTTGAACACAAAACTTTTCTTAAATAAAATCATGTTAGAAATGGAACGAGGGAGCCCAAAACCCTTTGCAAAAGGTACATCCACCAATGGACCAAATGACAAACCATAATAAGTGGGCCGACACCACATCTCAACCCAAAACCTTAAGGCTGTAGGTTTATGGGTCTTTTTGCACTTATATAGTCATCACTTGGTCTATGTCTAGACTATGTGGAACTTACTTCACCACCACTCACTCACTCACACTTGATTATTTCCAACATCCTCCCTCAAGTGTGAGGTTCAATATCATTCTTACTCTAAGGTCCACTTCTGCGGAAACCTTTTTTTTTTCTCTTCAAATATTAGGGTCACACTAGCCTTCTGCAGAGGCCTTCCAAACACTTAGCCCAGATCGTTGGCTCTGATACCACTGTTAGGAAATTCGTTCCCTCAAACTCCAATGTCAAGCGGGTCCAGGGGAAGCCCGTGGCGGGGAACCACCACCAATGAGCTAAGGCTACACCACAATGGTGTTGTTGAACCAGCACTAGCAGAAGGAGCTCAGTTGACAGCAGCACAACGAGCAGCTCATGAAGCAGTAAAGTTGAAGGATTTGAAGGCGAAGAATTATCTCTTCCAGGCCATTGACCGTTCTATCTTGGAAACCATTCTTTCCAAAGAAACTTCCAAGGATATTTGGGACTCCATGAAAAAGAAGTATCAAGGCTCTGCAAGAGCAAAAAGGCAGCAGCTTCAAGCTTTACGCTCGGAATTCGAAACACTTCGAATGAAGTCGGGAGAATCAATTGCAGATTATTTCTCTCGCGTGATGACCATTGTCAATAAAATGCGAATTCATGGAGACGAGATAGAAGAAATAACTGTCATAGAAAAAATTCTTCGATCATTAACAGCAAAATTTAACTTTGTTGTTTGTGCTATAGAAGAATCTAAAGATATAGATGATTTGTCACTTGATGAATTGCAGAGTTCATTGGTGGTGCATGAACAGAAGTTCAAACAGGAAGACACAGATGAGCAAGCATTAAAGGCTTCTACCGATACTCGTTCCAACAATTTTCAAGGAAGGGGTAGAGGCAGAGGTAGAGACAGAGGCAGAGGCAGAGGAAGGTCCACTAATTTCAGAGCCGGATTGGGCTCGAGCTAGCCTAATGATTGGCTAGGAGGCGGGTCGAGTACTTTGCGCTTCGGGTACTCGGTTGAGGGGGAGCATACCAATGGTGGGTTTCACACTTGAGGGGGAGATTGTTGAGATATTCAAGTGTGATGAGTCCCACATTGGTTCGCAATGAGCTAAGTGAAGGGTATATAAGTGAAAGGACCCATGAACCCAATGCCTTAAGGTTTTGGGTTGAGACATGGTGTCGGATCCACTTATATACCCTTCACTTAGCTCATTGCCAACCAATGTGGGACTCATCACACTTGAATATCTCAACAAATCAAACATTTACCACTTGAACTAACTTCAATTGTTTAAGAAGATAACCTCAATTGCACCAAACTTTCATGCAACAGTAGTGATGTGAAGACTGAAGATTATATGATGATACATGTAAATTAAAAGAAAAAAGGGGCATATTATCTTGGATTTGATGGATTATTGATTGATATATATATTAGTGGCTGAGAATAGATACTATGCTGGGGATTATCCATGTGACCTTATATATTCAGACTAAAGAGCAAACAAAATTGAAGTGATCACTCTGACAGTAAATAATGGGATCTTTGAAAGCATAACGTCATACTACATATTGTTTGGCCATGAATTTCACATAGTGCCCCACTTGAAAGGCTGCTATGGAAATCTAGCTATAGCCATTTCACTGATTACAATGGCAGCTACACTGCTACAGGATTTAATTAACTAGAGCCAGTAAATTAATAACAATAATGATAACAAGCAATGATTAGCTTAATTAATTATCCATTTGGATAATGCAGCTAGTTATAATTCGGTAAGCTTATTTCGTCAAGATCGTCCAATGACAAGAAAACTTCATCCAAACAAGAGAGCTCTGTTCCATCATCATCATCTCCATTCCGCTCATAAACACGACATATCACCCATTTATTATAATCCTGAATCAATCAAAAATTAAAAAAAATTAATCAGCAACCATAGAGTTAAATATATACTATATAGTTTTCCACGTTATTCAAATATTTTTTTATTTTTATTTTTGTGGTGAAATTTTCATGTGTTATAGTTTATACTAACTGTTTTTGGTTGTGATTTTCTTTTGGATGATCTGCTAGAGGAAGAAGCAGAATCTGGTAGACGATATTCTTGCATTATCCAATTGGTTTTGATACCAGAAGGTGCTTCTCCGACATGGAACACAAAACATTTCTTCATGCCAACTCTCTTGTTGTTTGTGGTTGTAACAATTGGTTCTTCCATTCCTGTTGGTTTCCAATACCCATTGTCAGTGATCCTATTTTGTGTCCTTCTGCTATAGTAGTACCATTGTTTTCCCTCTGCCAAAGCTCTACCTATCAATATATATATATATATATATATATATGCACCAGCACACAGAATTAATATACACAAAGGTTCAATTTTCCTAGCTATGTATAGTAACAAATTAAGAATAGCATGAAAGTTGAAACAAAAACAAAGAATGATGTTATATACATACCATCAAGTTCCCATGGATCATATGAGTAGAGCTCAAGATCAGGAATGACATCTGGGTGGCAAGGTAAAAGTGATGCCTTTCTATGAAGGAAATGGACTACAAGTTCTTCATCTGTGGGATGAAAACGAAACCCGGGTGGAAGGTTGACATTGTTATTATCTCCCATTAAAGCAAGAGGAGGAGAAAGAAAGAGAGAAAGTAGTGGAGGATGAAGGTGGTGTTGGTCAAGGATGGTATATATATAGTGCAAACAAGGTAGGAATAGATAGATAGATATATACGAGTGTCTGACGTGAAAGGGAAGATGGCATTTATCACGTACAAAACAGATACATCTTATCAAATATTTGATAATTTTTATTTTTTTTGGGTACAGAAGCACTCAACTCAACTCAACTCAACACCAAGCAAACAAGGCGGCGGAATAACGGAACGTGATGGATAGATGCTTTCTCAAGAAATTAAACGGGATCTCCAAAAGTGTGTTTGTTGGAAGGGAAGCTGGTGGGAAGTGTGGTTGTGTGGCAGCAGATTCTTTTTTGCAGTTTTATTGATGTATCTTTGCATATAGAAAAAAATGAAAATTTTGATGGTATGGGTCATATAACACTTCATGCTGATATCATCCACCTTCTGTATTCCACGTGGCATACATTAGTATGGGTTTGGTCCGAGACCAATTGAAACGGGGTGACCTACCTCTTGGAGTGTATCTATATATGCTTCATAATTAGCAGCAATTATAGTATGTTTTTTTACATTTAAATACAATAACTTTTTGTTTCGCTCTCAACCCATATGCTTCTGCCTAGCTTTGTAATCAATGAATTAGTAGGAGTAGCACAGTGGGAACTGCATATACATCCCACATGAAACAAAGCAATCAATTATCTCTTTGGATGGGGGAGTTTAACTGATTTGCTTTGGTCATTGGTGGAGCCAATGAAGCCCCTGTTTTATTTTTATAATTAATCAATTATTAAATCTTGCAGAAGAAAGAAACAAGCATAAAAAACTACACTAACAATGAACTACCTTGCTTATAACTTATCCAACCATTAATTAATCAATTACATTTTGCTGCTCTATTGATATTTATTTTTTCTGATTTAGAAGGTCAGCTATAATATTTATTACATTATCTCAGACGTTATTATTTTTTATGACTACTAACCTGAGTTTTTATAGTATCATGATATCATCATCTGAGTCCAACTATAACCATATTGAGAGTTAAATATGTTAGTCACTATTTAAATATGGTAAGAGAAGATGTTGAAGGGCATTGAAGGGTAACTAAGTATCTTTCTTCCAGGATTGACACCAATTGGGACTAGTACTGAATACACATATATTCCGTAACAGGCATCAACAACCCAAACAATTAGTTCTGTATTCAAATTCTTTTACCAAATTCTTGGTACCATACCATGATACTATTTATTTAATTCCCAAGCCTTGGTACTAGGTTCAAACAGTACTTATACCAATTTTGGTTAAGGTTTATGATACCCGAAAAGAAAAAGAAAAAAGAAAAAAAAGAAAAAAGTCCTAGTGTGCTGCGAAGAACACACTATATATATGTGGAAGTGGAAGCACTATCGTCCTCTGTCTTTTAGTAAAAGCTATGTCCCATCTCACGGCTCTAGTGGACCAAGAGTTGAGAAACAGCTTTCCACTTAAAAGGAAAAATCCATCCATATAAGGCACAGTGAGCAACATTCCTAAAATTATGAGCCTAGTTCTTCATCCTCATTACCTTGGTATTCACCCTAGCCATCTTATTGGTAGTCAGTGCTTGTTCCACAAAGAAATTGCTCATTCACACCCTGAATTGTTTTTTGAACTTTTCTTTCTATGGGGACAGAGGAAAGAGTAATACTAGCTAAACAACTTTGAAGTTACAATTCTACTTCTGTAAACTTTATCCGTTTAAGTTTAAGAGGTTTTGAAATCAATGCCATGGACAACATTGTGGGGTTATTATCTTTAGAGGAAATTCCTCAAAGTTAAAATCAAGAGGATGTTCCTCTTTTTGAACGGGGGATTAGTCTCATACTTCTTCCAGTGGTGAAGCTTAATGCACCCACTATTCAATAAGGGGATAGCATTCAGGGCCGTACTCTGAGAACAAGGTGATCGGAAGAGGTTGAATGAAGATATCTCTAAGTTATACAAAAAAAAAAAAAAATCAAGAGGAAATTAACATATATAGACTGCTTTTTTCAACGGTAGGTCCTCACAACAAGATACATTACCTTTTCTGACGAAGAAAGAGACACAGGTGTACGAAAGCCAGCTGTAACACACGAAGGGTAGATTTGTCCGAAAAAATCAGAAAAATTTTCCTCTCCTCGGATATTTCACAAATACCACCCCTTTGGAGGTAATTTGTGGAAGTAATCTAGTTCAAATTTTGTTCATAACTGAAGATCTATGGCAAATTGGATATCCGGGAGTTACTAACCAAATCTCCTACCAAACATGGCATTTCACAAAACCTTTGTGAATTTTCTTGGTAAAATTTCAAAGATCCCTCTACCAAAAAGCACCTTGGCGTTTTGTAGAGGAGAATTTTTTTTTTATTCAGAAATCTCAATTTTCAAAAATATAATTTTTATATTCAGTTTACGATATTATTCAAAAATTTAAAATTTAAAAAAATTTAATTTTTCCGGAAATCTTATAAAATGACGCGTAGCAAACTAGTGTAAATTGAAACAAGGACAGGTAGTGGAAAGCATATATCATTCCTCAGCCTCTGCTGCGTGCTGCCCTTTATTAAGAAAACTACAGATTGGTTGCTAGCTACTTACTAGACTCATAGGAAACCTAAGGATGCTTCTCCTCATTGAAAACACTTGTTGGAGCACTCACAAGTTTAAGTCAGACCCATGATGTACATTTTGGTATATTTCTATGTAATTGTCATATCCTGAAGTAATTAGTAACTTTTAGGACAATTTAGAAATCCAAATAATCCCAATTATGCTAATCTCTTATCTTGTTTCCATTTATCTGATATATAATATCTTTTCAAGTTCAATTAGAATCAAACGTATACTAAAAGAGCATTATAATGCTCCAAATGGAATGAGTAAGCTAGTTTTAGCTGACAATGACGTTGATATGGTAATTGAGTAGTGGGTCTGAGTTAGGCAAGTTTTGCTCTTAGACGTTTTTATCCCTTCATCATTGTCTTTATGTTGGCCTTGGTCGACATCAAAGCCAAAGGGTAGGGGGGGAAAGTTAAAAGATATCTACCAAGGATTTACTGTGGCTAGTAGCTGTTAGCCTCTTACGCAAAGTAATTTATTGTGGAGTAATGCACTATTATTCGACCATAACATATACAGATACGTTTTCTTTTGACTTATGTCTCTTGATTATTCAATATAATAAATCTTAACGTTAAGTGATAGGTTTTTACTTTTTACTATAGACTTTAATATTTGAAATCTACTATAATACACTCAAGAGTTCTTTCAAACGAAATCAACACCTAATATTGATTGACATGCTTTGACTAAGAAAAATATTTATACCATAGTTACAAAATCAATTTAACAAAACATAAATGAGAAGGGGGACCTTATTAGTTCAGGCTATTTTTGCAGAGTGCTAAATCAAATGATCAGCCAAAAAAAAAAATTTGTGATTTTGACTAACAGTTGTGTCTCTTTGGTATTGTGCATATGTTCACGAACAAGATATTCTTTTATTCAGTTACCATCCCATCCTAACATATGGTTGTTTATTCTTTAATTTGTCCCTTTCAAAGACGAAGCATGCTGATCTGTTATAAGTCGAATAATGGGAAATAGTAGTGTGATATATATCCTCAAATTTTGAAGGTGTCAAAGAAGAAATAAAGTTGAAATGACATTCAGGAGGTGTTTGGTTCAAGTTTTTGGAGAGGATTATCGGTAATCCTTCTTTGGTAAATGTAATTACCACGTTTGGTAGAAGGAATAAATTACGATTCCCGGATATCCAAGGATTACCGGTAATTTGATTTATAAAGAAAAGTCACTATTCAGATTACCAAAAATAATATGGTAATTCAGAATACTAATCAGAATACCAAGAAAAGGGAAAGCACAACAATAACTTTTGAGACAAAAATACCTCAATACACATAAAAATCTAGACTCAATCTATCAATTACAAAAGTAAAAATAGTTTGGGGTTATTTTTGTAAAATAACCTCATATTTCAAGTCATATTTCGTTCTAAACCAAATATGGAATCAGTAATTTTTACCCAATATTCCCGGTAATATTTTGGCGAACCAAACACATCTTTCGTAAGATTCCAAGTAAACTCAATTTCTACTGAATTCCCATTAATCATGATTCCCGGTCACCAAAAAAATTTTCTTGTACCAAACACACCCTCAAGTGACGCCATCCGTTTTCTTTGTGGGAATGTCCCACCTTGTGATTAAGATCAACCGCTAGCCACTGGTAGTTTTCATTGAATTCTAAAATACATTGATAGTTTTCATTGAATTCTAAAATGCATTTTTTAAAAAAAATAAAAAATAAAAAATAAAACTTGTCAGTTGTCATGACTAGTTTTTCTGCTAATTTCATATTTTATTAACTTTATTTTGTTTTCTGCTGAAATTTACCAATTTTATTTCGTTTTATCAATAAAATAGAAAATAAATATTAAGTATTAGCTATATGATATCTTAGAAAATAAAATTTACCAATTTTATTTCGTTTTATCAAAATAAAATAAAATAAATTTCTAAAAAATTCAATATCTTAAGTATTAGCTATATGATCATAGGCTCGTTTCCATGCGACGTGGCCTTTAATTCTTTAATACTTTTCAATCGTAAACTTTACGATGTTATATTTATTTTTCCATTTAAAAAAAAATGTTACTTTTTAAGTTTTATTTTTTATCCATGTCTCTCAATGAAATAGAAAGAAAGATTGTATTAATAAAATAAATATATAATTCAATTAAATAATTATATTTTATAAATTTAAAAATCTTTAGTAACTTTCTTAGTTCTTATATAAATTCTTAAACAATAAGTATATTAAATTAGATGGAGGATTTAGGCACTAATCATTTTGGGCCAACATTTCGAAAATTGTAATAATTGATACTGTTAGAGTCATGGCATGTCATTATGAAGAAAAGGAATAGAGAGATATTTTATGGTCAAAATTTGTAAATTGGAAGTGAGCGTCTGCGGCTCTATGCTAATTGTGACAAGCCGAAATCCATAATGGTAAATACAAATTGATGGCGACTTTTTCCATTACAATTAAGATATAGATCAAGTCAATTCAGGTGATAATGATCTCGGTTTTCACTTTTCACTAGTTTCGTGGAATTATGAAGGCTTCAAATAGTTCCCATATTAATCATTATACTTCAACATTATTTGGAATAGAAGCACTCGTGTTTCTATAGGGTGACAGATTTCAATGTGTGCAGTTGCACACTTCACAGTTCGCAGGCACATGAAATTCAATAAACATGCACAAACAATCCATACCTATTTCTATTTATAGATTGGTAATACAGCGGCAGATAAGTTATTTGTATTTATTTTTAAAATGACATTATTTTGGAATTGAAATATTAAAAAATTATAATTATAAAGACTATAATAATCCTGAAATAAATTAAAATTACAAAAATATCATGATTTATGTCCCAAAACAATGTCGTATTGCGCTTAATGCAGATAAATTATAACTGCAGAAAAAAGCGAACCTTGCTAATATTACCTTAAGATCATCAACCATGTATTAATTATCATTTATTAAATAAAAAGAAGAAATATAATGAAACAATATTGATATACTAAATATTAACTATGTACTTAATATGTTTGCATTAGAGATTTTTTAACATTATTGTAAAATAGAAAAAGACAAAACATAAAATTATAAAACCTTTTCATGTTATTATAAAAAATGTAATTTATCATGCATTCCAAAATAAACTAAAATGACCCATTTTTCTCCCTTTTTTTTTCACTCTCTTTAAATATCTTAAATTTAAGTATTAAATTATGTACATAAATTGTATTGAGATTTCACCCAAATATTACCACAAATAAACAAAACAAAATCAATTCATATACTTATTAGATCTTGAATATGAGCTTTTTTTATTATACTTTACATTTTACAATATTGTAAGTATAATTGGATTAATTTATTTTGCATTTTAAAAAAATTAATTAAAGATATGAAATTTAAAACATCTGAAATGTGTGAAAAAAATCAATTGCCTGTTTGAAAATTTAATTGATGTGTAAGATAAACACAGTATATGCGTATATTTTAAAGTAATGTTTTCGAGGAATGTGACCGATTAATTGGTATTTGCATGTTTTGGATTTTGGAAGCAGAGTAATCAAAATGCTTAGGATCCTTTTTATTCGTCTTGCTTGGGTTGGGTTGCGATAAACCGAATCGAAACATTGGTCTCAGCAACAATGACAAATCAGGCCTTTTCAAAGGCAAAAAAGGATTCAAGCCTTCAAAATCTCGCTCAGCGTGAGACTGAAACCTAAAGTTGGGTCAGCTTAGTGATAGTGACCCAAACCAACCCAAGTTGGGTCAGCTTACGATATAAATACGATGTCAATGCTGTTACTGTATGCGTTTCTTTTTCAAATGAAAATGTTTGTTTTTCTTCACGTTACCTCACATTAAATTGATTAAAATAAGAGAAAAATAAATACATCATGTCATAGATACATCAAATGTAAGACTTATTTATTTAAAAAAAACAAAAAATAAAACAAAAAGTGACACACTTATTTATAGTGTGTGACTGTGTGCAGGAAGAATTTGTTTTTTTCATACAATATGAGAAAAACAAATCCCTTAAAAGATAATATCTCAAATTTTTTTTTTTAAGGAAACAAACTATCTCAAAAATTTAAATAGTCAAGTGAAGGCATGCAAATGATTTTTAGATTATATTTTCAAGAAGTAGGTGGTTCAAATTTGAACAGGGAAAGCTACACACCTAAACCTGGACTTGTCAGTGATTCGGTGGACAGATATACTAAATTAATGCAAAGGAACCAGTGAAGTTGAACCTTAGTTTTTTATTAACTGGTACTTGCTTTCATCCAGCAATTTTAGTTTGATGAGTTTAGGTTGATTCATGTAAGAGATGGCTTTTGTACCTGAAATAAAGAAGCCACACGCTCTTTTGATTCCATTTCCAATACAAGGTCACATAAACCCGTTTCTAAAATTAGCAAAGCTCCTCCACAGCAAAGGTTTCCACATAACCTTTGTCAACAGTGAGTTCAACCACAAACGCTTGCTCAGGTCAAGAGGCCCTAATGCTCTCAATGGTTTGCCAGATTTCCACTTTGAGACCATCCCAGATGGTCTCCCTCCTACCAACATTGATGCAACTCAAAGCATACCTGATCTTTGTGACTCTACCAGAAACAACTCTTTTGTCCCATTCATCAACCTTATCTCAAAACTTAATGACACTAAGGCTTCTCATGATGCTCCTCCAGTGACTTGTATAATCTCAGATGGTATCATGTCCTTCACAATTAAAGCTTCTCAGCAATTTGGGTTACCCAACATACTCTTTTGGACTCACAGTGCTTGTGGTTTCATGAGCTTCAAAGAATGCAAGAATCTCATGGAGAGAGGCCTAACACCACTTAAAGGTGGAGACCATATACACAAATTTTTACTCTAATTTGATTCCAATTAGTACTAAAATATGTTTTTTTTTTCTTCATCATGGTTTTGTTTTTCAGATGCTAACTATCTGACAAATGGGCATCTAGACACCATCATAGATTGGATCCCTGGCATGAAGAATATTACTCTGAGGGACCTTCCTGGTATCTATCGTACCACAGATCCAAATGATATACTTTTGGACTTTGTAGTAGAACAAGTTGAAGCAGCTTCAAAAGCTTCTGCTATTATTCTGCCAACTTTTGATGCCTTAGAGCCTGATGTGCTGAATGCACTCTCCACAATGTTTCCTAAACTTTACAGCGTAGGCCCGCTAGAGTTGCTTCTTGATCAAACTTCAGAGAGCAGATTTGAATCTATTAAATGTAATTTGTGGAAAGAAGAGTCTGAGTGTCTCAAATGGCTGGATTCACAGGAACCCAATTCTGTTCTCTATGTCAATTTTGGCAGTGTTATAGTCATGAGTCCTCAACAACTTGTTGAATTCGCTTGGGGATTGGCAAATAGCAAGAAAAACTTCTTGTGGGTGATTAGGCCTGATTTAGTTAAGGGTGAGGCCTCAATTGTGCCACCAGAAATTGTAGCAGAGATCAAAGACAAAGGTCTAATGGTGGGTTGGTGTCCTCAAGAGGAAGTTCTAAAGCACCCATCAGTGGCTGGGTTTTTGACTCACTGTGGTTGGAATTCCACACTTGAAAGCATATGCAATGGGGTGCCTCTGATCTGTTGTCCATTTTTCAATGACCAAATTCTCAATTGCAGGTATATTTGTGGTGAATGGGCTTTTGGTATGGAGATGAATGGTGATAATGTAAAAAGGGATGAAGTGGAGAAGCTTGTGAGGGAGTTGATACGGGGTGAAAAGGGTAAGGAGATGAAGAAAAAAGCCATTGAGTGGAAGAAATTAGCAGAAGAAGCCACCAACACTAATGGTTCATCCTTTTTGAATTTGGAAAAACTGGTAAATGAAGTGCTGCTTTTCAAGAATTAGGCTACAAGAAACTAAGTTGGGTTAATGTGTGATTCAATAATTCTTTCCTAAGAATGCTTTCTACGTTTTCTTTTGGAAAAATATTTTCTGCATGTATTATCTCTAATAATTGACTTATGGTCATATTCTTCTTTCCCTGTTTACAGAAATCATTTTTATTTTTTTTTGGTAAATGCAATCATTTTGTAATGAATAGTAGTTCCTAGATTTGTTTACGGAATCAAAGTGCCACTGTTAAGTAAATTTATTATCAAATGTCGCGGCAAAGACTGTTATGTCACGTAATTTGTTACGACGGGTAGCGAATTATGTTCGCCAACGGTTTCATGATACATGATCATATTGCGTACCAAAGTTGCTATCACTAGTAATGAATTTCTTCCGATCAATTTTTTCCTGTGAAAATATACCACGTGTCACAAAATTATTGGTGAAGATAATTCGCTACAGATCGTAACGAATTATGTTACATGATAATATGGTCAAAGTATCGTTTGTGTGGTATTTGGATAAATTTTTTTGACAAATAATGACACTTTGTTAAATGTTACTTTGTTTACAACATGAACCACGTGGGCGAGCCAGCTTAACGGAAATATATGGACAAAAAAATAATATAAAAATTAAATTACAAATAAGTGTTTAATATAATAATAATAATATATAACCCATATGCATAGCTTAACATACAAAAATAATAAAATAATAGCTGCGCGTTGCGCATGCAACAGCTCTCTAAATTTTATTTGTGGGAAATGATGCTCGATCTTCCTCTTTGCTTGTCCATTTTTGTCTATATATTTACACTAAACAGATAACATCTTTTCCTTATAGGCCATAACACAAGTAGAGAAAAACATTGATGGAGTCTGCTACAGTTTCATCCAGTGCCAAAATTGATAAGCCTCTTCATGTTGTCATGTTCCCATGGCTAGCTATGGGTCACATATACCCATGCTTCGAGGTTTCTAAGATTCTTGGACAAAAGGGTCACTATGTAACCCTCATATCCACCCCAAGAATCATAGATCGCCTCCCTAAACTCCCACAAAGCTTGTCACCATTTGTTAAACTAACCAAATTGCCCATAACACCCCACGTAGACAGAAACCATCTCCCTGAAGATGCAGAGTCCACTATGGACATTCCTTCCAACAAACTCTATTACCTCAAGTTGGCCTATGATTGTCTCCAAGATTCTGTAGCTGAGATACTAAAAGCTTCAAATCCTGATTGGGTTTTCTTTGATTTTGCAGCTAGCTGGTTACCACAGCTAGCTAGGAGCCTCCACATTCCCTGTGCCTATTTCAGTCCATGCCCTGCATGGAGCATATGCTTCTTTGACACACCCAAAGAACAATTGGGTGATGCTGCTGCAAATAGAACAAAGCCTGAAGATTACTATGGCCCACCCAAGTGGATTTCTTTCCCTACAAAGATTGGTCTAAGACCTTACGAGGTTATTAAGTTGTTTGAAGATGTCAAAGTTAATGAGACAGGAGCTTCACCTGTTTTTGATCTCAACAAAGCAAATTCTAGTTGTGACATGTTTGTTATCAGAAGCTCCAGAGATCTTGAACCAGAATGGTTAGATTATCTTGCTGAGTTTTACAACAAGCCTGTGATTCCCGTTGGATTGCTTCCCCCATCAACGCAGATAAGAGATTCTGATGAGGAAAACAATAGCCCTGATTGGCTTCAAATCAAAGCATGGTTAGACACACAACAAGGGTCAACAGTGGTGTACATTGCATTTGGGAGTGAGGTGAAACTAAGCCAAGAAAACCTCAATGAATTGTCTCTTGGCATTGAGCTTTCAGGGTTGCCTTTCTTTTGGGTTTTGAGGAACCTCAAGAAGGGTTCAGTTGAGTTACCATATGGTTTTGAAGATAGGACCAAAGATCGTGGGGTTGTTTGGAAAGCTTGGGCACCCCAAACTAAGATCTTAGCTCATGGCTCAGTTGGTGGTTGCTTGACTCACTGTGGTTCTGGTTCAATGATAGAAAATCTCCATTTTGGACATGTTCTTATTATGCTGCCCTTCTTACTAGACCAAGCTTTATATTCAAGAGTAATGGAAGAGAAGAAAGTTGGAATTGAAATACAAAGGAACGAGCAAGACGGGTCTTTTACAAGGAGCTCAGTGACCAAGGCATTGAGATTGGCAATGGTGGATGAGGAGGGAAGTGCTTACAGGAAGAATGCTAAAGAGATGGGCAAGAAATTCAGTAACAAAGAGCTCCATAACCAATACATCGAAGACTTCATTGCTTCCCTTCACAATCACAAGTATATATATAATAGAGATTAAGTAGAAGTGTATTTGAGCTAGTACAGGTCTTTTTCCTTTTCTCCAATATTAACTATTTTTTGTTTTCAAATATGCAAGTTTAATTCAATTATAGGCTTCTTGCTTGTGTTCATGCCAACATATATTAAATACTTTTAGCATATTGAAGTGTAATAACAGAAATACATCAATGCATAGGAATAATTAGCCACCTATCAAAATTTGATTATTAATTTACCATAAACACGGACACTCCATAAAACATACAGCATTTGTAGAACGTTGACCACAATGTCACGTTTTACAAAAAGAAAATTTCAAATTGCCATGCCAACCAAAAATTTTGCCGTCACGATGACCAAAAAACACACTTCTTGAAGCCACCAAACTCATTGTAGTGGCAGCAAATTTGGTGATCAAATGAGTAGACCACTTTGTGAAGTAGGGACACATGACATGTAGGCTGTAGCCTAAAACTTGCTGTCAGCAATAATGAGTTTAGTAACACCCGGTAGCTAGGAACTCTAGATTCATATATGATGGCACATAGCACAAAATTTTGAACATTTTTATCATACAACTTCATAAGTCATAATTTTTATTTTGTGTGTTCGATAATTTTTTTATTCCCGTAACTTTAGATCTATGCACTGCCAAATTTTTTTATTCCCGTAACTTTAGATCTATGCACTGCCAAATATAATAAACAACATTAAAAAAGTGTTGGGTTGAAGAAGTGGCCCACCAGACACCAAGTGAAAAAAAAAAAAAACAGAGAGAGAAGTTGCTAAAACTAAAAGCTGAAAAAATGTCCATTAATAACTAATGTAATATTAAATTAAAAAGTTACTAAAAATGAAAGAAATTAAAGAAAAAAATATCTTAAAAAGTTTTATGGTGGTGAACAAGAGAATTTGTTGGTTCGTGAGTTTTTATTTTCAAAAGTTGCTAAAAGGAAACAAAGAGAAAATATTTTTAACCGTTGTTCTAAAAGAAGTGTGGATTTGGCTTGCTATTTGAAATTCTGTTTAAATGGGTGTATTCAAGAGTTTGTTCATAACATTCATCCTAATTTATATGCATTAAATGTGAAATGAGAAAATCATCCTAACATGAATAAGGAAATAGTGCTTATGATATTAACAAACCAAAAAAAAGTTGCAAAATTTGAAAAGTCAGAATAAAACACCTACTAAAAAAGTTTCCGGGAAATTTGTCTACATTTAGCAATTTATTAAAGGGAATAAAGTTTCTAAAATTATTTTAGAAAAATTTGTTTAATATTCATCAAAACGATGTAGTGTTGAGATTGAAAGATTAAAAAATTAGAATGATAAAAATTATTATAACTTAAAATAAATTAAAATCATAAATACACTATAATTTTTATCCCAAAATAATATCATTTCAGTAAATATTAAATAAATATTTCTAAAATAATTTTAGAAAAAACGAATCCTTTATTAAAATTGTAAAACAAAGCTTATTAGTAGTAGTCTAAACTATAAAAGAAGCCAGGCACGCTAGCTTAATGCTCATTAAGAATTCCTATAAAATTAAAATAAAGGGTGTACTTAATATATATATATATATATAGGATCAGGATCATTTTACATCAATGTAAAACTAATAAGTCTTACACCATATCTCAGCCATTAATTTTCGTGCATCCAGCCGTTATAATTTAGGAAGTCATACAAATTAATTAATATTAATTACATTACAAATACCAATCGATGATTTCCGTTCATCAACGGCTGAGATGTGGTGTAAGACTTATTAATCTTATATTGGTGTAAAAATTTTTTCCCCATATATATATATTGGGGGAAGGATATTGTGACAACCAAGTTGTGTTACTACCAAGTGACTACCAATCAATCTCACCGTTAGAGCGATTATGTTGATCCAACGATTATATTTATTTCCATCTTTGTATGGTCATGATTCCCCATATTTAAAGTGAAAGCATTAAATATGGGAAATCATAACCATACAAAGGTGAAAATAAATATGAAGTATTAAATTTGAGAAATCATGATCATACAAAGATGGAAATAAATATAACCGTTGGATCCACATAATCGATCTAACGGTGAGATTGATTGGTAGTCACTTGGTAGTAACACAACTTGGTTGTTACAATATCTTTCCCCATATATTGGATCCGAAATTATTAGCATATTTTATTGGGACTTTGGTTTATAATTAAATCCGATAACTTGTGTTTATAAAAAAAAAAAAAGATTACTTGCAGTTAGGGCTGTAAATAGATTAGATTAAGTTTTGTTTAAATAGGTCATTGTAAAAAAAAAAAAACTTTAGGTTTGGCTTAGTCTGTTAGCCTGTGTAGACTCAATTACAAGTCTGATTTGACCTATATTAAAAATAAAAGTCTTGGCCTAAGCATGTTAGTCTATTAAACATTTCATAATTAAAATAATATCATCTTATTATTTAAAATAATTGAAATAATAAATTTATTTATTTTATTTAAAATAAACAATATGATGTAGGCTGACCTATAGACTTATAGGTTTGATATGTACAAAAAATCTATGACCTGTTTTTTAAATAATTTTTTGGAAAAACTTCAAAAAATCCCCTATGAGTTTTCTTAATTATTACTTACCCCTCACAAATTTTTTGAATCATTTACACCCTTATTTAAATTGTTTTATCACTTATCTTTTGCCTTAAAATTTCTTTATCACTTACCCCTCATTTAAGGGATAAATGATAAAAAAAAATTAGGTTAAGGGAGCAAATGATTCAAAATTTTGGGAAGGGAGTAAATGATTATGAAGAAAGTTATGTAAATGATTATGAAGAAAGTTATAGTTTATAGGAGAATTTTTGAAGTTTTTCCTAATTTTTTTAAAAACCTAAACCTATTTCATTTAACTATTCATAATAAATCAAATTTAATTTAATATAGGCCAGTACATATGCCTCAACATTGCTAGCCATTTACACCGGCAAAAAAATTAATTTATTGCTTTTTTAATAAAAACTCACGAATAAGTAGTCGTTTTGAAATTAATTAAAAAAACATAGCAGTGAAACACCTCCATAGGGGTGTGACCGGTTGGAGAGAGACACGTCCCATCTGGTTGTGTTTCACCAGGTGCTGCCACGTGGCACAAAAGTCAACAGTTTGACCGTAAAACTTTGGAAGTCCATAACTTTTGACTCGAGTATCCGAAGTAGGTAATTTTTTTTTTTGATTCCACATAACTTTTTGAGATCTACGTAATGACATCTCATTTGACATATTTTTACTCTCACAAAAAAAATTGAATTTACAATAATGATACCATAAGAACGTTTAAACTCAAATTAATAAGCAGAAAATCATTGTTATGATTAGAAACATTCATAATAAAGATCCTTATGATTATGGCAAGTTATGATAAGGTTAATTATGTATGTTATTGAGATATATATTAAAAATTTGAATGAAGAATTTTATGAAATTTATAATTGTATTCGGTTAACATCTGTCGGTGATAGAATATCAAATAATTTATATTAAAAAGTTAAGTGAGTGCTTTTCGTTTTATTTTGATTTTTAAGTTTTTGTTCGTGATTATAAAAATGTTAGATTATTTTTAGTAATACTTATAAGGTAACAAAGTCGTGTCATTTTATTTACAAAAAAAAAAAAAAGTCGTGTCATTTTTAATAATTATGGTATCATTGTTGTAAATTCAAATTTTTTTTTGAGAGATAAAATATGCCAAATGAGGTGTCATTACGTAGATCTCGAAAAGTTATGGGGAATCCAAAAAAAAAATACCTAATTCGGATACCCGAGTCAAAAGTTATGGACTTCCAAAGTTTTACGGTCAAATTATTGACTTTTGTGCCACGTGGCTGCGTTTGTTTAAACACGCCCAGATGGGGCGTGTCTCTCTCCTCGGTCACGCCTAGATGGAGCGTGTCTCTCTCCAACTTGGTCACACCCCATGTGGGCATGACTCACGCTTAGGTCACGCCCCACATGGGTGTGTTTTTCTTTATTGGAACACGTCCCATGTGGGCGTGTTTGACTGCTATATTTTCGTAATTAATTTCAAAACGACTACATTTTTCGTAATTTTTTATTAAAAAAACAATAAACTAATTTTTTTTGCCCATTTACACCCCGTAGAGTCGGTATGTTTGGACAGATGTGATTTGATTGTGGGTTGTAAGGGGTTTGCATTCATCGCTTAACATGATCACAATCATTTTTTTTACAACATGCAAAACGAATCTCTATAACATATCAGAATTATTTTTCTTATAAGATAACTCTAACTCTTATAAAACCCCGTAGGTAAATGATAAAATAGTTGCTGCGTGGTTCTCGTGGCAGTGCCCTCATTATTTTATTTAGGTCATATTATTACCTCGTGAGAATAAATTAGTACTAAATGCGTGGTACACATGGCAATGTTGTTTATATTTAGTTTTCCGTTTCTTAATGTTTACTTTGAGATCTTTATTCTCCTTTATATCATAGTCCTACATCCATAAAACCCTGCCAAGAGTGAAAAGAAAAAAGAAAGGTAAACTCTAATGGATTCTTCAGCAGCTCCGGTTTCATCTAATGACAATGGCAAAATTGATAAGCCTCTTCATGTTGCCATGCTCCCATGGCTCGCTATGGGTCACATATACCCCTATTTTGAGGTTGCAAAGATTCTTGCTCAAAAGGGTCACTTTGTTACCTTCATAAACAGCCCCAAAAACATTGATCGAATGCCCAAAACACCGAAAACCTTAGAACCATTCATTAAATTGGTGAGGTTGCCTTTACCACACATAGAGCATCTCCCAGAAGGTGCAGAGAGCACAATGGACATTCCAACCAACAAGGGCTGTTACCTTAAGTTGGCTTATGAAGGCCTCCAAGATGCTGTAGCTGAGTTGCTACAAACTTCAAAACCTGATTGGGTTTTCTATGATTTTGCAGCTGGTTGGTTACCACCAATAGCCAAGAGCCTCAACATTCCCTGTGCTCATTACAACATAACCCCAGCTTGGAACAAATGCTTCTTTGATCCACCCAAGGATCAAATCAAGTCAAATTTCAAGCTTGAAGACATGTGTGGCCCACCCAATTGGCTTCCTTTCCACACAACCATTCATCTCAGGCCTTATGAAATCATAAGAGCATTCACAGCTCTCAAAGATGAGGAAACAGGTGGATCAGCTACTTTTGACCTCAAGAAAGCATATTCAAGCTGTGACTTGTTTCTTCTCAGAACCTCCAGAGAACTTGAAGGTGAATGGTTAGATTATCTTGCTGACAACTACAAGGTGCCTGTTGTTCCTGTGGGTGTGCTTCCACCATCCATGCAAATAAGAGATGCTGAAGATGAAGACAACAACCCTGATTGGGTTAAAATCAAATCCTGGTTAGATACACAAGAACTTTCATCTGTTGTGTACATAGGATTTGGTAGCGAGCTGAAGCTGAGTCAACAAGACCTCACTGAGTTAGCTCATGGCATTGAGCTTTCTGGGTTACCTTTCTTTTGGGCTTTGAAGAATCTGAAAGAGGGTTCACTTGAGTTACCAGAAGGGTTTGAGGACAGAACAAAGGAACGTGGGATTGTTTGGAAAACATGGGCACCCCAGCTTAAGATCTTAGCTCATGAGGCTATTGGGGGATGCATGAGTCACTGTGGTTCAGGTTCTGTCATTGAGAAGCTTCATTATGGGCACGTTCTTGTGACCCTTCCCTATTTGCTAGACCAAGCTTTGTTTTCAAGAGCACTAGAGGAAAAGAAAGTGGCTATTGAGGTACCAAGGAATGAACAAGACGGGTCCTTTACTAGGGACTCAGTGGCTAAGACATTGAGGTTAGCAATAGTGGATGAGGAAGGGAGTACTTATAGGAACAATGCCAAAGAGATGGGTAAGGTTTTTAGTTCCAAAGATCTTCATAATCAATACATTGAAGATTTCATTGATACTCTTCAAAAGTATAGGAGGGTTCCTTCCAACAGCTAAGCAGGGTTCATGTGTGTTCCAGTTTCTTCCCCTTTTTTTTATTGTGATTTTTGTTTTGGAATAAAGAAAGCTTAGTTCAAATACCTGGAATCTGGATTGGCATTTGATTGGGCTCTGCAAACTCGATTGCGATTAAATTAATGAACTGTGAATTAATATTTTCATCGTTTCATTTCATCAATTCAATGACATGATATTTCAATTCTAGCCCCACGGCCACAATATAACTAACACACTGTCGTAACGTAACCTACCTATAAAAGGACCAACCCATCACCTGATAACGATATTTGAATCGCTTCATTTTGAACTGAATCCAAATCTCGCCTTTATAGGTTGCCTTTCTTAACTCATGTAATGTAACGTATGTGGCACTGATATCGACACGTGACACGACACTCATGACACTCTGACATGTTAATTTTAAAAAATATTAGATTTCGACACGTTAGGACACGTTTTAATATTAAATAATATTTTTAATTTATGTAGTGTATAGTATATTTAATATTCAATAATTTAACAAAAACATGAATCTAAATTTATAATATTCATAAATTTTGCAAGGAAACATAAGATATCCCAAATATTTATATTAAACTCAATAAAATAGTAATCGTAATCCAACGAATCTAACAGTTGAAACTAAAAACTCAACGTAACGCAACCTTTAAACCTTTTTTTAAATTTCTATAACCCGTGTTGGAGTGTCCGGGAGTGTCGGACATGACACGTCAGAGTTTTTGAAGTGTCGGTGCTTCCTAGAATTTTGAAGTGTCGGTGCTTCCTAGAATGTAACCATGCAAGCATATCAAGCTTTTTTAAAGAGTACCGTGCATAATGAGTAACCGTAGATGACAATATCAATTTGTCTGATTTTTATAAAAATATAAATATTTGGATCATAATGTCTAAATTTGTGATGATTAATTTTGATATCAATGATTATTCATTAAATATTCTAACTTGGGCTTGTTCTAATAATTGGTCCCTTTTTAAAGCTCTATACCGAGACAAGCATGGTCCGTAGACCGTAGTTCTCTTCTACTACCGACCACGATGATTCCTAGCCCAAATAAGTAAATAAAAAAATGAACCAAGAAAAATATAGGAAGACGAGTATTATTATATCCCCCAGTAAGTGTGCTCTATCATTTTTTTTCCCAATTTTTTTGGCTATTTAGCTATATAAGAAAAGCCTCCAGCCATAAGCAATTATTAATTTTGGAAAATGATTTTTACTGAGGATAGTTCTATAAATAACTTGAATTCTTGGGAGCACGAGTTTCAGTGTAATGGTGGAGATCCATGCTGCTGTCAAGTTAGAGAACAAACTCACTTTTATGTGATGGAATCGTATAATGTGGGATCTAATAAAAACTTGATTTTGAATTCAAATTTGTGATTGAATATAATTGTACAAATAGAGAATTTTGTTACAGTTACCTCAAATTTATTTCTGGTCCCCTTGAAAAATTCTTTTTAAGTATGAGGGAAAAGGGAGAAAATAAAATCAGTGCAGAGGACTTGAAGATTTGTCTCAAATCCTCACACCCAATGGATACTTCAAGTTTCCCACATGAAGCAGATGCTGTCCCAAGGGAACTTTCCTGTTGCCAAGTTCATCAACTACACTCAAATCCTTGCAAACATCTACCTTGAAACTAACCTGTGCTTCTGATTTTCCTGTCAAGTGCACTTTCTCAAAACCCAACAAGTGTTTCTGAGGTGCATTGTGTACAGAAGGAGGAGTAAAAAACAGTAGCACTGTATGGCTACTGCTTATTTCCCCCATGTTCTTGACCTTAAGTTGAATATCAAAGGCCAAGTTTTGACAATGCTCATCAGCAACGTCAAGTGACTTGCATTCTAAGGAACGGCATACATGATCATCTGCTAGGGGAACAGACACCAACTGTGGTGCTTTAACTATTTTGTGCTCGACACTTGAGAAGCCTATTCCATCTCCAAATGAGTAAACAGTTTCCCCTTTATAAAATCTATATGATCTACCAGGGTAACCTGTAGCAGGATCTGCCCTCATGTTCATATTTGTCATTGGTACCTTTTCTACATACGATTGTGGATACCATGTAATTGGTAGCCTTCCACCTGCACCAGAAAATCATGCATTAGTGTTAAAGTTGTACCATTAAAGGGTTGAAAATTTTGTGATATAACAAGAGAATGTGAATGATTTACTTGGATTATAAAACCCGAAAATCACATCAGCTATGGCTGCTCCACCAGCTTCGCCGGGGTAGCCAACCCACAGGATGCTTGTGATTTTATCATTAGTTTTAGCAAAGGACACATCCATGCCTCCTCCAGACATTATGACAAGAATCACAGGTCCCTTGGATACATTTGCAACTTCACTCACTAGAAGTTGCTGCTGTCCTGGAAGAAGAATGTTAACTCTGTCAAGACTTTCTGCCTCTATAGCTAGACTTGCACCAACTATAATCACGGTTGCATCTGCAGAGGCAGCAATCTTTGTGGCATCATCTAGCTGGGCATTGGCACATTGCACATCAGGACAGCCAGGAGCAAAGCTTGTAGGAACTAAGGCTGTTAGGCCTTTCAAGGGTGATATATAGTTGCAAGGGATGCCTTCAAAATTGAAAGGAACTCGTCAAATTTGATGTTAAGCACAATATAGAGAGATAAGAAGTATTAAACTATGATAACAAACCATTTGAAAAATTTTGCTTACAGTTGGTAAGTTCTGTGCTTCTACATAGAAAAACAAGTTTCCCAAATTTGGCCTAGTTCCCAACTTTATATCCATATGGCTAAGTTATATGCATATACAAAATTATAGGAGTTGGAAACTTTGATACCTTCATAGTTTCCAATCATGACCCTAGTAGCATCAGCATTGGGCCCTATAACTGCCAATGATTTAATGGCTTTGGCATTGAGAGGCAGTGATCCTGGACAATTTTTAAGCAACACAATCCCTTGCCTTGCAGCTTCACGGGCGAGCTCCTGGTTCTCTGAAGTGCATACATCCTTTGGACCAAGGTTTCCATAAGATTGCTTGCTTGGATCACCATCAAAGAAACCAAGACGCATCAATGTGGCGAAATTGTTGGAAACAGCATTGTTAATGGATGCTTCGTCCACAAGTCCTTGCTTGATAGCCCCTTCAGTATATTGACCAAGATAATCTCCACAGTTCAAGTCCAACCCTGTGAAATCAAAATGTACATGTAGCAAAGATAAGTAAACAGGTGTCTTATATATTTTGCAAACCAAGACTTGGGTAAATAACTATCTCAATTTATTGGTCATCCAGTAATTACAATGAAAATGGAAGTTTATAGTCTTTTCATATTTTGTTACCTGCCAGAATGCTTTTGGCTGCAGCTTCTTCAGGAGTCTTGGTGTAGTGCTGATCTTTGAAAAGCACTTTTACCGAGTCACAGTCAGAAACTATATATCTGCATACCGCACATATTCATATTACTGTAAAAACAACATTAACAATTAAACCAAATTATATGAGATTTAGGAGAATTCTTAGATACCCATTTAATTTCCATTCCCCTCGGATAACACCCTTAAGGAGGTCTGGGTCTGCGCAGGTTGGTTTTCCATTAACCTGGTTGTAGGAACACATAACACTGGCAACATTCCCATCAATTACACAGCTCTTAAATGGTGGTTGGAATGTGTCATCCAAATCTTGCTGTGTCACCTAACAAAACCAACAAGCAAAACAAGTAAAAAGGGGTAAGAAAATGTGTTTTCTGCATTCATATCCTTACAATCAAATCAACAAATGTAGATTACCACAGCATTGAAGGTGTAACGCTGAACACCTTTCCAGTTGTCCAGATCATAGGCTGTATAGTGTTTGCAACAAGCAGCAACCTTGAGCTTGTTGGGGTCTCCATCATCAGTTTGTTGCAGACCTTTCACGTATCCTGTTGCATATTTGCTACTTAGCAAAGGGTCTTCCCCTGGTGTTTCCTGTCCTCTCCCCCATCTGGGATCTCTGAATATGTTAATGTTTGGCGACCAATAAGTCAAACCAGCCAACCCCACATTGTACATTGCTCTGGCTTCTGTTGAAACCACCTGAAATAATCAGAAATTAGTCATAAACACCACTTGAAACCCTTTTTTTTTTCCCTCCTTAGATTATCTAGCGCATTTAACTGCATCTGCATGATAATCACAAAATAGATCATTTTGCTACAAAATATTATAAACTCTACATTTTTATTAATTAAAGCAATTTGGAAATTTCCCATTTAAATGTACCATCCGAAATTAAAAAATTAGTGACCGATCAGTTTTTAAATTATATCAATGGTAATCAATCAACATCAAGCCCACTCTGTCATTCACTTTCGCTTCAATATGCAAGCTGGAAGATAAAAAAAACTTGTTATGTAACCACTGATAAGTTACCTAAATTTTTGTTTCATTTATTATTTTATTGCTCCATCAGACATTTGTACCTAAAAGACTCACGCTTAATGTCAAAAGCAATGAAGAGAGGAGAATGGGAAAAATAAAATAAAAAAATCAACCCTTTAACTACCCCCCATCTACTTCTCTTAATGAATAATGAACAGCTTCAACACCATAGCTAAGCCTGTAAATATCTAAATACTCAAACCGACAAACTTAAGAACAACCTCTTTTTTTTTTTTGGTGTTTTCTATTTTCTCCTCTCTCTACTTCATTAAATCAACAATGTACTGCATTATGAGAGTAATAGAATAAATTCGCAACAGTTTCACAATTTTAAGGATTAAACCTATAAAAAAGGCATTTCTCATTAAAAATCTGACCAAACTCTCTGAAATTTTCAGAAAGAACTTACCAACTTCAATGACTAAAGTTAACGACTTTTTATGTCTTCATTAAGTAAAAAGGGAAAGACAGCACATTTTCGCAGTTTTTGAAGAACCCCTTTGGAAGTATCCCAAGAAAGTTTTAAAATAAAGGTTGAGAGTAATTTAAGACAAGAAGAAGATGAAGAGAAATCTCACTCTTCCAATGGCTTCAAAGAGGGTACTATTGAAAGAAGCTGCAGTGAGAATAGGCATGGGAAAACTGGTTGCTCCGGGCACCACGCTGGAAAAATTGGTCCCAGGGCCAATGTTGGAAACTCCATGAAGAGCCTCAGACCACCATTCATACTTTGGAATCCCAAGCCTACTCACTTCCATTGCAGAATCCACCAAGTTCCCAATTTTCTCCTGCAATGTAAGCCTCTTCACAAGGTCAGCAACTCTTGCCTCCACCGACAATGACTTGTCACAGAACCCAAAACCCGCCAAAGCCGGATTCTTTGCAACATCACAGGCAAAAACAGCAGATGTTTGGCCCCAAACCCGGTCACAACTTAACAAAACTGTGACACAGAACAATGAGAAACAGAGCAAAACAGAGACCTTGTTTTCAGTGCAGGCCATTATCCTGACCTTGAAAACTCCAAACACGCAAAATAAAAATAAAAATTGAAGCTATAGAAAGAAAGAAGAAGCAAAAGGGTATGTTTTAATATCAACGAATCATAAAAGGACCTGGTATATCATTTTTTGAGTGTGGAGAAAAGAAAAATGGACAGCAAAGAGGTTTTTAAAACACATTGTTTTTTAGCAACCCGTGATGTTTGTTTGACTAAGGAGAAGATGGAAGCCCCTCTTTGAATAATGCAGTTGTTGTTTCTGGGGGAGAGCCAATTGAGAGTAACTGAAAAAGAATCTATGTATAATTTGATCAGTTACTAATTGAGTGAAGAGGTTTGTTTCGAAGCTCTACTTTGTGTGTGTAACATAACATATATAGGCTTAGTGGCTTGACTAATGCCTAGTGCCTAGCGTATAGGGTACACATTTTTTATTTTCTCTTTTGGTATATTATATCACATAGTCAAGATTTGCTTGCTACGGTAAATCATGAGAGGGATTTCAAAACAAAAGTGAAAAGAGAGGAAGGCTTATTGGGTGAATTAATAGGAAAATAAAGAAAATGGATCACAAGGGCACTGAAAAACTGATGCATAACATTAATTGATAATTGCAGGGAAGAGGGTTGTAATTGGAAAGGAGGGAAGTGAATCCTGTGAGGCTTAGCTGGGGGATTTCTATTTCTCATATATGTCTCAACTTGGACCTGTGAGGCTTTTAGGCTGTATAAGAGTAAATGATTTGGGGTTGTCGTTTTCAATTTTCTGGACAAAGCCAATTTGCACTTGGATATTAAAGTCGTTTAATCTCTGGGTATATAATAAATGAAGCAAATAGTTATATAGTATTTGGTAATGGTTAAATCGTTAGTGACTTTTTTTGTCATGAAGATGCAATGTTTGTTCATATAACACCTGGGTGACCTCAAAATTTTAATGCATATTCGGATCATTTTTTTTCCCGGTTGTAAGAGAAAATGATGAGAGAAGAATAAATACAAAATAAATTTATTTTGGCACATATAATTAATTATATTATTATTTTATAAGTTTAAGGTGGCAAAGAACCACATAATAAAAAATGTGAGCAATATCATTTTAATTATGGTACGTTCGGACAGGCAGTTGAGACTTGTAAAATACGTTTATATTTATGGGCGTTTGGTTCACGGTTTTATTTTCCTTTCCCGGGATAACTTGCTATCAGGCATTTAAATCCCGTGTTTGGTTCGTGGAAAATTGAAAAAAGCCAGAGTTCAAAGTTTCGCCGACAAATTTCTTCATGTTTTATCTACAGTACAAAAATCAATTCTGAAAGTCCATTGAAAACTTGGCACTCTTTCGATCCCGGGGAAATCTAAAGCGAGGCGCTCGAAATTTGACGAAACTATCCTTAAAAAGTTGGTCGTACAAACCTTTTTATTAAAGGCAACTGAAACTTTGCCATCACTGCATAACATTTCCGCAGGAAGAAAGAGTCCACCATCGAAGCTTGGGTTTTATCGGAATGGAGTTCAGAAGGTATGGTGGTAGAGGGAAAGCAGAGGACGACATGCATGTAGCATCGGTTGAGCTTCGAAGTCTTATAACATTTGTTGTTTTTGTTTGTTGTAGACAGCTTGATATAATCGGTTTGCAGGAAGGCTGTTCTTCACAGTAGTAGCAACAAATCTAGTAATTTCCAAGCGTAAGTCCACCACAAACGAGCTGTTATCGTGTCGTAATCCTTGTATATGATTTATATTCTCATTTTGCTTGAAGAGTCATAACAGAGGGTCCTTCATTTGTGTATTTGTGAAGAAATGTTGCAGTTGTTTAATTTTGAGGGTTCCAAATGTGTATCATGCTTCATCGAGCTAAACAGGTTTCTTATTCTGCAGTTCTTTCAACAAGTTGGAGTTGTGCAATCTGAACAACAAGGACCATTGCTTAACTAAAGATCAAGAAAAAGGTATTTCCATTTTCACCGTTGAAGAGGCATAAATGAAACACTATTATGTGAATGATGCTTGGATTCAGGTTTTTTTTTTTTTTAGACATGTTGTGTTACTTACTTCATGGTTTGGGGAAGGATAGAATCCATTTGTTTATCTTGATATGGAGTAGTCGTGTATATTGGAAGTTATTTTGTATGGAAAAGCATACTAACTGCAAAGTTTTTCCGCAAAACAGCATTTGAATGACTATTCATTTGTTATAGATTTTACATTCTTCTTTACTCCAAAGCTTACGCTATGGATACATATCAAGCATATGAGAATACCTTCGACAACTGCAGTTTTGCTATGAAGATAAGCCAACTCAGAAAATTATAAGAAAAAGAAAGGTTGTGTTTAGATAATGTAATTTTTAAATTTAAGAGAACTTAAAATACATAGAAATTGAAATGCATTAATTAAAAACCCATCAGATTTAGTCTAAGCAAAAAACAGAACTTGATGGATGCTTGTTTTATTAAACGAGGATGAAGAGATTTTGTTGAAGCTGCAGTAAGTCTGAAGGATGGATTTGTTAATGAAATGGAGAGAGAAAACAGAAAGACAAAACCAATAGAAATGTGAAGCAAGCATATTAAAGAGGTGAATGAAAATGAAGTATCCATACATATATGGAGTAGTCGTGTATATTGGAAGTTATTTTGTATGCAAAAGCATAGACGAAATTATTGATACATGATAAAGCATGTCATTGTCAGTAATGAACTGGGATAAGTGACATTTTATATGGGTTACATCAATTTTGTGAGTTGTCTTTTTTCATCATGTGTTTTCGATTTGTCTCACAAGATGTTTGTAGGTTACATGAATGTCGTAACTATGTTGTGATATTGGTCGTCCAAAGTTAAAGTGACACATAAATCAGCAAAAATTCATTTTAATTCAACGTGATAATGATTCTTGGCAGAGGTATTTTTAATTTGAAGACCGATTTTTATATGAGAGTTAAAATCCATTGAATTATGAGTTTCAGTATGTTATTATTTTTGGATTGTGAAAAATGTTGGTGTCAACGTTTTGATTATTAATCTTGTGGCTTCTTGGTTGGTGTTTTAATTCAATGCTGTTTTAGGTTGCTGTGTTTGTTGGTGGTGTTGATACGTCTGCAACTGAAACTAAAGGAACTGTCCTCATACATACAGCTGAGCAGGTATATTAAAATGACGATGGTTTTGATTACTATCTTTACTCTTTTCTGTATTATAAGATTGTAATATTTATTCATTATTTGAGTGCTGAGGCTTATGAATTTGTGTCTGTAACAAGCTAGAGGTCCATTTGTGTCTGTAATTTGCTGAACTAATATGCCAAGAAAAGGAATGAGAAGCTTCTTCTTCAAACAATCACCATACCATGTTTGTTGTTTTGTTTCTTTACGTTGTGGATAATTTGAGTAATGTGAATTAAAATTGACCTTCTTGTGTTAGATCGTGGCAATGAACAACGGAATGGAGTTGAGTGTCGTAGTTGTGCTCATTTGTCATTTGCAGTCTTTGAATAGGCTGACTATGGTTTTATTGAGAATTTATGGTTTGTTATTAGCTAAAAGTGAAAAAAGGAAAAAATCTAAGAGGAGACTCAGATGGAATAATTGCAATAGGGTTCCTATCAGGGAAGTCACTCTGCATAGAACAGTGTATATTACTGACACAGCTTGTATTGAGAATACAAGGATGGATAGGAGATCTTTTCATAGTTTGTGTGACTTAGTTAGAACAGTTGGCATGCGTCAACCGACAAGGCACATGGCTGTAGAAGAGATGGTTGCAATCTTTCTTCACATATTGGCTCACGATGTTAAAAATCGGATAATTAAACGTCAGTTTGTGCGGTCTGGTGAAACAATAAGCAGACAGTTCACGAAGGTGTTGCTGGCTGTGTTAAGATGTCATCATGTTCTACTGAAACAGCCTGATCCCGTACCGCAAAACTCAACTGACGAGCGTTGGAAATGGTTCAAGGTTTCGTAGCATAAAACATGTATTTTTTATTTAATAGTCACTGCTTTTTGTTCGTATGTTGTTGACTTGTCATTTTTTGTGTTGCTTTTGAATGAAAGAATTGTATAGGGGCCCTAGACGGGACCCACATCAAGGTCAATCCCCTCATTGCTGACAAGCCAAGATACCGGACTAGGAAAGGTGAGATCGCGACAAACGTCTTGGGTGTTTGTTCACAAGATTGCCAATTTATTTTTGTCCTTCCTGGATGGGAGGGTTCAGCAGCAGATTCAAAAGTACTCCGCGATGCTATATCTCGAAACAATGGTCTACGAGTGCCAAAAGGTACTGATTATATTAAGATAATGCATTGTTAACATTTAACCATGACAAAGAAGTGTCTGACATACATGTATTATATATATTCTAATGTAATATTATTTATAATTTTGTAGGATACTATTATTTGTGCGATGCTGGTTATATGAATGGGGAAGGATTCCTAACACCATATAGAGGGCAAAGATACCATCTTAGTGACTGGAGACATAGGGCACAACCAACAACACCGCAAGAATTTTTTAACATGAAACATTCAAGTGCTAGGAATGTCATTGAACGATGTTTTGGGATGTTGAAGGGGCGTTGGGCGATTGTAAGGTCCAAATCTTATTATCCGGTTAAAACACAGTGCCGGATAATAACTGCTTGTTGTTTGCTTCATAATCACATAAGAAGGGAAATGCCCATTGACCCTTTAGGCGATAATGACATGGACATGGGCGAAGGCGAAGATAACTGGGAAGGACATGACATGATCACACATGTTGAGTCGTCTAATGCCTGGACACGTTGGAGGGACGAAATGGCTCAGCAGATGTTTGACACGTGGAGAAATGGTGTTTAATTGTGTTTGGTAGATTAAGTGTGTTAATGTTGGTCATACTCTATGTGGTTATGTTATCAAAAAATGTCAGACTTGTTTGTTAACTATGTTAAATGGTGTACCAGTTTTATTTGGAAGAACCTAAGCCTTTTCAAGTATTTTATGAAGCTTGTATTATTCA